TTAGAGATAACATATCATTAGAGGAGAGACTAGCTTACGTGCTGGAAAATGTCTGATGGTCACGACAGGAACTGTTCACACCTCCTGTAGTTTGTTAATTATTATGCTTTTGTGATCAACTGTTGAGAAGTTAACACAGGCTATATGACTGAGATGCAGGGCTCTGCTGGAACTGCATTTGTGGAACACCAATGATTTCCAGCTTTTAACGGCAGATGATCTGTAACATACAGATTGAAATCCTCCAGGTGTACATTCTGCATCATGAGGCTGATAAAGTCCTTAGCCCAAGCCATTTTTAAAAAATAAGATTTTGTCCTCCCCCCCCCTTCCGCCCCCCCATCAGTCCCAAGTAATCCACTTCAATACTTCCTGGTGTTGGTAATTTTCATTAATTAAAGCCTTACCTCGCTCATTCTGCAATGCTCACAAGTTCCCAAAGATGAAAGGGAATACTAAGGACTAATGGAGGAGGGAATCTTTATTTTCTAAAAAAAAATATGGTGAGCTCATCGGCATTACCGCACAGAACTTAAATGTGCTGGGAGTTTTTGCAACCTTGCAAGCTGCTTTTAGTAGGGTTGGCTTGCCCTTCTGGGCTGTGATGATGGTCCATCTATCCAACAGTAACCAATTGTTCCTTCCCTGCCTCTGAATTCAAAGAGTGCCCCACATCTCTGTTTTTGAGCTACTGTATTTTTCCGTGTATAAGATGCCCCCATGTATTAGACACACACACCCTATTTTTCTAACCCCAAATTAAAAAAATCTAAGTGGAGCTTAGCAAATGTAGGGGGGAAGGGGTATTTCCCCTCCTTCAAGAGTCTGCTGAAGTCTGTTGCTGAAAGTCAGTTACGTGTATCAGTTTGCTGTTCGATGTGTTCTCCTAATGTCTCAGTTACTGAGAATGTGTCAGCTGATGAGGGGGAAAAAGGGTGGAATGACCCAGGGGTTACTGAGAATGTGTCAGCTGATGAGGGGGGAAAAGGGTGGACTAACCCCGGGGGACTTGAAGCTATTCTGCCCTGTGAATCCCTGCACTTCAGCTGCATAGCTAGAGGAACATTACCAAATATTCAAAACTCTGGAACATCATGCACCACATTCAGCCACAGTTTGATTCTCAATATATGCAGGCAGGCTGTTCCATCCACTTCCACCTGAGAACAATGTATCTGGGCAAGAGTCAAAAGAAATATTGCAGTTAAAGTAATTGTTCCTCTGGAGCGTGTGGGGGTGCAGGGGGTCTGTTGTCAGGACGAGGGTTGCCAGTTGTGCCTAATGTTTATGGCTTGTTTCTTAAAGATCCCCACTAAGTTCTTGTCAAGAGAGATTCCCCCGCCCCAGCCACCCTCCACTGCGACAATTTATTTCTCAGAAGAAGAGAACCCAACCAGAAAGGAAGAAATTGCTTATGAAGGATGAATCACACAGATAATATATTCACAGTTTTGACTACTTCGATCGATTTGCCCTTGTATCAACGCAGTGTTTCCTCTGCGATGTGTTCTCTGACTCGGTGATTTAATTTTTCAAATAATGAAAATATTGTTGCTAGATGCCAGATTATGCTCTGGCCGTAATAAACCCCTTGAATCATTCCTGATGTAGTGCCCGGATCAACAGGCATTTTACACCAGCCTTCCCCTACCTGGTTCACTTCAGGTGGCTAGGATTACAACTCTTATAATACCACAGCTAGGGTGAAAACTATGGGTAGGAAAGGGCCTCTTTGTCCATTTCAAAGTCACACTGGCTGTGACTTCAGTATGGACAGTGCAGGTCTTCACTATCTTGCAAATAGTATTTTTGTCTGCCAATGTGATTTGTGTATTGGTCACTAATGCCTACTGCAGGTATATGTGGCAGAACATGCATACAGGATCCCCTTGGAGGTCCAGGATTTCATCAGTGCAGTTAGTCCCTTCAAGAGTGTAAATTGCAATCATTTCATGTTTTCATTTTGTTCACACTTGCTGTGGCCAATTTATCACCATGGAATCTGTAATGCGCTAGACACATCTCTGGAGAGTTGACCGGCCAACTCCCACTGGGGAATTTATCTAGAGTGGCTTAGCAGAAACGGCCAAGGCTGCTAACCTTTCCATCAACTTGAATGAGGTGATGGCGCATGGGATGGCCGTCAAATTTGGTGCTGCCCACCCCACAGGGACTGCCGCTGCCTGCCGTCTCGTGTCTCTAATCGGAAGAATGGGTAAATTGCCTGTGTCACAGCGCAGCCAATTTCTCCAGCCACCTTGCCCGCAGAATCTTGACCTTGAGGCCCCTTCGCAGTGGTCATTATTCAGCTGGACAGCTTTAAAGAAGAGCCAGGTTCTGATGGATTTGGGTGGCCGCGTATCCAGTGGCATCGGATAGGATGGTGGCCTCCTTTACAAGCTGATATCAGATGCTGTAGCTGCTGCCACTGCTACCACCTCATCTTTGTTGACATCTTTTTCTCCTTAAGTGTGTGGTAGAGGGATATCTCTACCACCCCCGCTTCTGCTTCCTCCTCCTGCGTGGAGAGGGTGCAGCATCACCACCTCCTCTGTTCCATAGGGCGAGCTGGTCCCTCCCTCTTCAGCATGGCTGTCTGCCTGGTCTGCTTTTGCTGGTGAGATGAAGGTGGAGCAGCACTGTGTCGTGGCCTGCTTCTCTTCCTGCCTTCGATGATGACAATGCTTGGGTCACTCCTATGTCCGTGTCTGGCTTTTGAGAGTCTGGGATCACCTCCATGCCACCAGAAGCAACAAGTAGGAGATTGTGGACACTGCTGGCAGCACCATGATCACCAGTGGCATGCCATCAAGTTGATTCCACCTGATGGCAACCCTTCCGGGGTGTTGACCAATCCCTCCCTCTAGTGGATCTCTGATCCTGTGCCAGCTGCTCAAGGCCACACAGACGACAGGTCACACAACCTCACAGGGCACAAACATTCTGGCTGGCCTTGGTTGGCTGCTCCCCTGGGAGGCACAATGGAAATTTAAACTCTGAACTATGTCACCTCCATCAGCCAGCATCTAAACCAATATATACAAACATATATTAAGCCTGTAGACATTTTGCTTTCAGATCGACCTCTCATATATTAAGACACATTGACCAGAATTCTGTAGGGATTGTGCGATACAGCTAGAGATGGGTAGGATCCGGAAAAATGACGAATCAAGGTGGTTTGTGGTTCACCACTCGTGAACCTCAGAAAAACATACGGGTTTGTGGTTCTTCTTTTCCGACTTGCACCTCAGAGATGAACCTAATAGTTCTGCCCCCTTCTTACTGGCCCTGTTGCCCCCTTACCTGGTCCTGCCACTTCCTCCTCTTCCTCTTCCACTACCACCAGCTTTAGAGACAGTGGAGTCCCTTCCAGGAGCTGAGTCAGCCACCTCTGTGTATGTGCATGCCTATGTAGCTTCCTGGAAGCGAAGTTGGACCACTGTCTCTGGAGAGGGTGGAGGCAGAGGACCAGAGAGGGAGGCGATGAAGGCAGCGGGAAGGGGACGGGAACATCCATTTTTGCCGAAAACAAAGCGGGAAGCGGAAAAAAGTTCAGTGTTTCATTTCATTTCGGCAAAATGGGATCCCCCAACCCTAACTATGAACCAAAGCACAAACCAACGTGATTTGCGGGGTTTTTTCACTTCACAATTGGGTTCGTGCCCATCTTTAAGTGCAACTGAGCAATTGTGCAACCTTTGTCGCTGGCTGTCATTCGTGTTCCTCCACATGCTCCCGTCAAGGAAACGCTTGCCCTCCGGGTCATATGCCCAACAGCACAACAAAAAGGCAAGAGGAAGGGTGTGTGTGTGAATATTTGCACAATTTGCCTGTTTTGTTTCTGTTGTGAAAAAAAAACACCCACACCTCTTCTCCTTAATTCTCATGAATATTATGCCAGTCAAAAATAAATAAATAAATAATAATAAATGTGGGCATAATTTAGCTGACAAAAATAGCTTGTGATGTGTTGTATCACTATATGCTGTTGTGTTGTTTGTCTCCAACATATACAAGCCCTAATAGTTTTTTTTAGTGTTTTACCATTGCTACAATCCAATGAGCTTCTGTGAGCAGGGATTTGAACCCAAGCCCTCCTGCGTCCGAGTCTAACATGCTGTCCATTGTACCATATTGGTTCCTGTTGAAGAGTGTGGAAATAATAATAAAACTTTGAATTAAATAAAGTGTGGTAAACCCTGAATCTGGTCTCCCCCATTGATTACAGTGTTCAAACAGTAACCCCTTTTCATTACTACTCACAATGCTTAAAAATAATTTGTATTACCTGTTGTGCTCCTGCTCACTTTTTAAACGAGTGTCCATTACTTTACTTCTTGGTCTTCTTTTGTGATCAATAAAAGTATTTAAAAATCATTTAAAAACCCCTCTTTTCCCCCAAAATGCGCTCAGATGGCACGTTTTGTATGCAACAAGAAAGCATTGCTCATGGTGCCAACAAGCTTACTTTGTTTCGATTGGTTACAAAACTGTTAAATTATGGCTTCATCCCATCCTCATGATTTAAAAAAATGTAACTAGTTACAAATGGCTATGTTGCTTGTAATTGGTTACTATCAAGTTCTGATCTTATCAGCCAAACAGCCTCTCCCAAAGGACCATTAAGTCTGGAGGAGGAGAAAGACTACGTAAGACCATTAAGATGCACAGGGTCTCTGAAGTCCCTTACAACATTCTAATTTTATGAAAACACGCTTTGCCGAATGGCATTCATTGCGTCTGACCAGTCCTTCTTGACACATGGTTAGTGTTGCTCTACCCTACGTCTGTGCCTTATAATGTGACTCTCCACTGGTTCGTCGTGTTTGGACTTCTTAAGGGTGACTAAGCCTGTCCAGGTCAAGATCTGAGTTTCCCTGGCTGGTTGGCTCATTTCAGACTACCGTAGAATGACAAAGAACCATCCGTTCACCAGATGGAATCCGATGGCATGGCCAACCCTTGTGTTGATTTTGGTCTCTTCACTCTTGGCTTAGGAAGGGGCTTGCACCAAGCTGGATGAGGACATCCTGGACATTCCCCTGGATGACCCGGATGCGAACGCCGCAGCGGCCAAGATCCAGGCCAGTTTCCGTGGCCATATGACTAGGAAGAAGATTAAGGGGGGAGAAATAGAGCGCAAAAGCAAGGATCCCGAGTGTACGAGCAGCACCCGTGCGGGGGACCTACGTAATGGCGATTAAGCATGGCCAGGTAAGGATCCATGTTTCCCCGGCTTCTTTCAGACAACTCTGGAATAGCAAAGAGCAATCAGTTCACAAGTACAGTGGTGCCTTGATTTATGAACTTAATCCGTCCCAGAAGATGTTCGTAAGTCGAATCGGCATTTCCCTTTGAAATGCATTGAAACCCGATTAATCCATTCTGGCTGTTTGGTTGTATTTAGAGGCATCGTTTGTAAGTTGAAGCATTAGTTCCCATAGGAACTAATGCAAAACCAGTTAATCCGTCCTCTACCACTAGGGGGAGAATTTTTTTAAGCCTAAATTTGACTTAGGTTTTAAAAGGGGCAGGAAAGGAGGGAGGGAGGGAACGAACACCTTTTAAACAAAACACCTTTAAAACTAGCAGCTTTAAATCAAAACAAGCACCTTTTAAACCAATTTTTACATTTTAAAATTACAGTACCAGGCAAAGTCCATTTCTCACTTTCCCCACGTTTTTTCTTCGTAAGTCAAAGCTCCGTTCGCAAGTTGAAGCAAAATTTTGTGAATGGAGCTGTTTGTAAGTTGAAATGTTCGTATGTGGGGCGTTCGTAAGTCGAGGCACCACTGTACAGCATTAATTTACTTGTATACAAAGAATCTTTGATATAATTCAAGACTAATAGATTTATGAATCTACTTCCAGATGCTTTTTTAAAAACTGCAATAATTCGCCTCTTAAACAGCTTTCAGACATTGTTGTCTTCCATCAATTGTCCTCCCACATCCTCCCTCTTCCCTCTTAGTTCTTCTGCCTATCTTTTATCACAGAAATTTCATTGGGGGGGGCAGGGAGGGGAGAGACAGATTCATTGATGCATTTACAAATATTTCTGCACTCTTTAGATCTAAAGATTTTTTCACAGAGAGTACAACAAGAGCAGAACATACAATATAGTTGTATACAAAAATAAAATGCAATGTAATAGATGGTAGGTTGGATGATGCAGAGAAGGTTTTTAATTTTTTAAAAAAGATGCATTTTTAACTTGGCTTCTAAAAATAATTTTTTGGGGAACACATTGAATAGAGGGAGGAGTGTTCCGAATGGTAGAATTGCTGCATACTGTAATGTCTTCAGCTATTTGTCCCATCAAAATAGCATGATTTTTGCATTAACAGCATAAATTATCCAGGCTCTCGGATCTCAGGTTGTGCGGGAGGAAATAGTTTTCATTTCAGGATCTTCTGATGGGTTCTTCTTTCCGTTTCAGGTTCTTTGGAAAGACTCTTAAAATGACAAAGGGCCTCGTGTGTGTGTGTGTGTGTGTGTTCATGTAGGTTAGCCTGAAAGCCCCACAGAGCTACCAAACCTCAAACAGATTGGGCAATAGCTTCGTACTCATTTGAAAGATAACTGTAAAAGCTGTGCCTCCCACAAGCGCCCCATTGCTTTCAGTGGAAGATCCACCCATCATTGGCGGCCTCTCACCTTAGTTTTAAAAAACCACCTTACTATTATTCTGCCATTCTCTTTAGTGCAGGAGTGAGAATCCTATGATTGATGGGCCAGAGGTAGACCTGGAAACCAGTCTAAATTATATGGAGATCTCTGATCTGTCCATCTCAGTAGTCTTTCCTCCTATTTCTGTGTGAACTTTCTGTTTACAGAAACATAGGAAGCTGTCTGATACAGAGTTGGTCCATCTAATCAACCCAGTATCGGTGGCCCTGACTGGCAGCAGCTCTCTGCATGGTTTCAAGTAACAATTGAACCCCCTGTTGCAAACTGACCTTGGGACCTTTTGAATGCCAAACAGGTGCTCTGCCACTGAGCTATGGCTACTTAGTGGGATCTATATACAGTGGTGCATCGCTAGACAATTTTAATTCGTTCCGTGAAAATTATCGTCTTGTGAAAAAATCGTCTTGCGAGGTTCCCTATGGGAACCTCACAAAACGAATGAAATTTATTTGTCTTGCAAAGCATGTCTTAAAAACGCCTTGCGAAGCACCATGGCGATCGCAAAAACCAATCGTCTTGCGGGTTTTTCACCCCGCGAGGCAATCGTCTAGTGAGGCACCACTGTATCCCATTTAATGCAAACACATGTCTTGAATGTAGGAGTGGGTAGCCTTCTACATGTTGCTGCACTTTAGCTCTCCTCAGTCCTAGCAAACAGGGTCTATGGGGGAGGAATGTGGGGGTTGTATGGCAACAACTCCTGGAGATCCACGCATGCCCCAGTCCTGCTATAACGCAAAACCAGATATGCGAAAATGGAATTTCACTGGCTTCCCATTTAGCTATTTAGCCCTCCTTCTTACTGTCCTTCTTATTCCTTTCTTACTGGAGGCTGGACATTCTCATAGCTGTTCCGACTTTGCTGGTGGCAGCTCTAAGCAGTAATGCTGAGTTACATCCAGATCATTTGTTCAGCATCTTTCCCTGGTAGGACAGTGCTTCTCAACCTTGGGTCCCCAGATGTTCTTGGACCACACCTTTCGGGAACCATGGGCAGCACAGCTCGTGGTGAAGGCTTCTGGGAGTTTTAATCCAAGAACCTCTGGGGGATCCAAGACCATTGCAAGAGGACCTTTTCTTTCCCCCTTTTCTTTTCCCATTTATTTTACCTTGAATGGTCAAATGTAGACACATGCGTGTTTTGTTTCTCCCTTGGCTTTTATTTTTTTTCCATGTGTTTTCCAATATCGTAGAAAATGAATAAGGTGAATTTACTTTCATTTTTTTAAAAAAGAATCTATCCTGAAATCAAATGCAAGCAAATCCACAGTGCATGAGCAGGGGGGGGGGGGGAGGAGGCTGTCAAGAGGTTTGTTACAGATACTGTATAATCAAGACGATCATGCCACTTTAAAACATGTGATAACCCCTCATTATTCTACATAACAGTTTCAGCACAATTAAAACAAAATAAAACAAAACACAACACCACAGCCGTTTTTCCCTGTACAGACATCTCGCCTTTATTAGATTGTCATTTTTGAGATCAAAAGAGAAAGAGACTAGAGAGTAGCTATTTATGGTTGACAACCACTAGCATACAAAAGTGTTGTTTTTTTTAAGAGCTGTAGTTATCAGAATCCACCTTCCAGTATTGGGGATGGGGGGGGGGAGAAATGTGTTCTCTAGGGATTCTGGGAACTGTAGTCCATAATGAACTTTTCTCCATTCGCTATAAAGAGAACAGTTCAGATTATGAGGCACTCACTGTGCTGTCCTTCAACAGTTTGTTGTCATACCCCAGCATGTGTCACCTAAGCTAGCTTCTTCATTCTGCCCAACAGACGGACTTGTCTTTTCTAATCAAATTGCAGGGCTTATTACCCAAGTGATTTTGTCTCTTGAATGAGAGGATTGAACATGCCCTACCTACCTACCTACCTACCTACCTACCTACCTACCTACCTACCTACCTACCTACCTACCTACCTACCTACCTACCTACCGTATCTATAAAAAATGCCACAGTATTAAAGAATAACTAATTTATTGCATTATTAGCTGCAGCGAGGAAGGGATGGACTTGGCATCCACACCCACACCCGAGCTCTTTTGCTGCTTTTAGCAAGTTATCATCAGCTTGTCTCGTCTCTTCAGCTGCCTGGAGAATTTTCGCCCGCCGAGGCGGTGGCTGGGTGGGACGTCTGCCTACTGATAGGTCACAAGGGAGGAGAAAGAGGTGGGATGTACAAAGCAGGATGAGTTTGAAGCAGATCAGCGAAAGTGGGTCAGAATCTGTCCCCAGCACAGGTTGCCCTTTGAAAGCCCTGCATGGAGAGCGCAGAACAAAATCATGACAGCCATGTGTCAGACCACCGCATCCCCCTTCTCCACAGCTTCAAGTGGCACAGTAGGTCCCCAGGTTTGTATGCAAACAATGTTTCTTCAGAGGGTTCAAGGCACCATGTGCCACTCTCTCCCCACCCCCCCACTTGCTTGAGGCTCATAACAACTGTAAGGCACTGACCCCAAATGACCCAGTGATCTTGAAGGCTGAGTGTGGGCCTTCCTCCTGGTTCTCCATGAGCTAAGGCTGACTCTTTAACCTCGCCTCCCACTACCTGATGCCTAGTAGACGTTTGAATGGCAGCCTCCATCCAGCCGGAGTGGGGGAGGGATGGGAGTCGTATTCCAAAGCATTTGGGAACGGCCAGGTTAGAGGAGACAGCTCTAACCCTCTTACACTGTATAGGCATTTCCCATCTCACAGCAGAAGGGGCTAATCCAAACCCAAACTGCCTGGGCGGAAATGGCATATCTCATAAAGTGTGACCAAAACAGCAACCACCCCTTCTGTTTGGAGTGTACAATGAAACCATGTACTCATGGGAAGTTATGTTTGCTTGTTCCTTTTAAATATTTCTATGCTGTTTTTACCTTTAAATATTGCCTTTTAATGACGCACACTACCCTTGCATACTCATTGTTTTGTTGCTAAATATTGTCTTTAAATGCTGAAGGCCACCTTGGGTCCTTTTCTAAGGGGAAAAGTGGGGTAAAAATATTTTAAATAAATGAATAAAATAAATAAATCAATATTTAAGATCTTTTTACCCCACCTTTCTTGTTTAGAACGACTCAAGATGACTTGCATCATTGAAAGTCAACATTTAAGACAAGGAAAATCAAAACAGAGAAAGCAGAGTTGCAGTTAAAAATATACGAGAAAGTAGAATTGTCTGGAAAAGAGAAGACTCTGAATCAAAATCAGTATATAGATCTGGATCTAAACTTTCTAAACCCTCTGATCATAATTTAAAGAGGCTGTCAGAAGCTTCAGCTGAAACAACTATGTCACAGAAATCACAAAAATCACAAAAAGGAGGGCTCTAGGGCTGACTCAGAATCTAAGGGTTATGTGATCCTTATAACCACCTCTAATAATCTGGCTGCAGTATTTTGGACCCAATAAGTTTCCAAACACTTTCCAAAGTAGTACTATTAGTAATAAGAAAAGTAATGCTGCTGCTGCCACTGGTGCCACCACTGCTGCTGCTCCTCCTCCTACTACTACTGATGATGAT